TGGGGTTTGAGCTGTCATCTTTTGCCCTTCTGGGGCTTGAAACCAGGGTATACCCAATAAGGAGTGTCCCGAACCAACCAGAGGGGGCTGTCTGACTATGGCAGCTATCATCACTAGATCCATTTTACAAGCCCAACAAAGGTCAGGGTTGTTTTACAGGGCTATGAAGGCCTGTACATAGGGGATTTCTATCCATATTCCCTGCTGGTGGCAAAGTAAATCTAGTTGATAGATTATGTTAATATTTTGGTTTTCTGTCCAAGATTCCTGGTCTTGGAGCACAGTTGTATTCAACTCAGGCTGTATTACAGAAAAACATTAGCCTTTTCCTTTATAGGGTTTTGGAGTCAAACTTTTCCCAGTTCCTGAGAATGCATCTGAGGGTTGTGTCCTGTGGTATGAAGATGGAATTACCCATCTGTGAAGAGAGAATAGACGAGAAAAAAAGTAAAAAAGTGTCTTCTCTTCCTATTATCCTGAATAGGCCGCCCCCCATTTGCCCTTAGGGTTCTGGAATGAGTTGATCTTACCATGTACCCTTAACTTCGGTACCCTCTTTTCACAGAAGAGATACCAGAGTGAACAGAGAGCCCTCTCCTGTTCATCCATGGGGTTCCAGAATGAACTGGTCTTACTATTTACCCCTAACCTTGCCTTCATCTCTGTTCTAATGATAATCTGTTAACTTGGGACCAGCCTCCATCTCTGTCCTATGGGTCTCTTGTGCCGGCGGCCTTGCGCCATCCTATATTCTTGCCTCCATGACCTTACAGTGACTCTCACTTGGAGCATTCTAGCAACAAAATGATTATCCCTTTTCTCAGATTCCCATTTCCCTTGTTCTCTAACTAGACAAGAAACCTGTTTTTCAGCTAAGTGCTGCAAGGGGGCTGAACTTCCCTCCCTTCAAATATGACCTTGAAGATCTTGATGAATATTGAGAAAGGCATGGAAGTGATTAGAGAAATGGAAGCTCCAGGAGGAAGTAGGAAGAAGCCAGAGGAATAATCATGGAAACCTTTCTTAGGCTTCCAAAAACAACATCCCTTGGATTTGAGAGGGCAACATTTATTTGTCTTCTTAACATAAAGTAGTAACCTCTGGAGGACTTAGGGCTTGATGTGAGAATTCACAAATGGCAAAGGAAGAATTTCCCTTCCTCCCGAAGGGGTGCTAACTCAAAAAAAGCAGGTAGATGGGGTCCTTAAAGGGCTAGAATGAGGCCCTATGCGGGCAGGAAACTACTTCAGAAGCCACCGGAAAACTCAGCCCTGGACCGTAACGGGAACAAAAAGCATATGGTAAGTCATAAGGAGCTGACTGGGGATCCAATTAGTGTCTGTCCTAGCAGTGTGCCAACAGGCAGAGGAAGGATTAGAGGTCATCTGAGCTGGTAGGGTAAAAACTAGTATAAGTCTCGAGATATCCACAAGGGAGCCCATGTTTTTGCTGCTGCGCAAATTCCGCAAGAGCTGAGGGTGTACCAATAACAGTTACATGGCATGCAAAGTGAAAGCAAAAGAGGCTAACTTGCCTCGAGGTGGACAGTCTGAAGGGTGTACAAGGCCATTTCAGAATACACACAGAAAACGGGAGAATAGGTGGTGTGGGTTTTTGGGAAAGAGCCAATTTTAGTTGAAAAAGCAGAGGAAACCCCAGACATTGCACAGTTTTAGGCTTTAGCCTTACCACTCTCATGAGCCTCTTGTCTAGGAGAACCTTTGTGTCTCAGGTCAAGGATCTTACCTGTGAAGGACTCCAAGGTCCTTCCTACCCCTATGAGCTACCCATCAGCAGGAGCTGAGAGATGAGCTTGGGGAACAGAGCCACTGTGGCAGAGAATTGTTCTGGGGGATGGTTAGTAAGCTGGAGAATGAAAAGAGCAAACAAAACTGTGTACAAGGGTTAAACACCTCCAGCCAAAGAAGGTGAGGCATAGAGATGTCTTACCACTGCGGAAGCATATTCGAATCACGTGGCACCAAAGTATGTTAATATTAGGGAATGTATCCAAGCCACAGCACCAAAGTATGTTACCAGCAGCAAATCCATACAGGTCTGCAGCAACCTCAGTTCTTGCTTCCTCAGAAGAAAGAATTCAACCAAGGAGCATAAGGCAGAGTGAGAGACCAAGGCAAGTTTTAGAGCAGGAGTGAAAGTTTATTTAAAAGCATCAGAGCAGAAATGAAGGGAAGTAAAGTACACTTGGAAGAGGGCCAAGCAGACAACTTGAGAGATTAAGTGCACTGTTAGAGCTTTGACTCGGGATTTTATATGTTGTCATGTGTTCAGGGTCTTGCATCTCCCCTCCTTGGATTCTTCCCTTGGGGTGGGCACTCCACATGCACAAAGACCTGTCAGCATTTGGTAGGGGTCACATGTGCCATGTGTTTACTGGAGTTGTACGCATGCTCACTGGAGGCATTCTTCCTTTACCAGTCCAAATGTTCCTAGAGGGTCATATACCAGTTAAACTCTGCCATTTTGCCTCTTAGTGCACAGGCATGAGCCCACTCTCCAACTCCTGAGATTTTATCAGGAAGCTGCTGATCACCAGTTTCAGATGTTTCTGTCTATTGGAAGATTGCCTTTCCCTGGCATCAGCTATGACCAATTATTATTTTAGAGAGACAGTTTAATAATCACCTGACCATCACCTGATGGTTGCCTGACATTCTTGGTGGTGGCGTGGGAGTGAGGGGGTCCTCTCCTTCCCTGCTCATGTCTGGCTAGCCACCTGCTGAAAAATGAGACATCAATCAATATGCATAAAATGTACATTGGTTCGGTCTGGAAAGGCGGGACAACTCAAAGCAGGGGAGGGGGCTTCCAGGTCATAGGTATATAAGAGACAAAAGGTTGCATTCTTTTGAGTCTCTGATTAGCCTTTTACTGAATACACAATTTACATGTGAGTGGCAGATAGAGGAATAGTCACTTAAGTCTTAGTCTGGCTTAGTGAAATAATAGGGCAGAGGAAGTAATCAGATACACATTTGTCTCATAGGAGTACAGGGATGACTTTGATGACTCTGAGTTTTGTCTGTCCTTTGTCCACAAGGAATTTCTTTGTGGGCAAATTGTGAGGGAGGTATGGGACGTATGTAGCTTTTTTTTTTTTTTTTTTTTTTTTGAAACGGAGTCTTGCTCTGTTGCCCAGGCTGGAGTGCAATGGTGCAACCTCGGCTCACTGCAACCTCTGCCTCCCGGGTTCAAGCGATTCTCCTGCCCCCGCCTCCCGAGTAGCTGAGGTTACAGGCGTCTGCTACCACACTGATTTTTATAAGGATTTAGTAGAGACAAGGTTTCACCATGTTGGCCAGGCAGGTCTTAAACTCCTTACCTCAAGTGATCCACCTGCCTCGCCTCCCAAAGTGCTGGGATTACAGGTGTGAGCCACCACATCCAGCCTTTTTTTTTTTTTTTTTAATCTTTGTAGCTATCTTATTTAGGAATAAAATAGGAGGTAGATTTTCCTGGTGCAGTTTCTAGCTTGACTTCCCTTTGGCTTGGTGGTTTGGGGATCCTGAGATTTATTTTGTTTTCACAACTATATTATCATTGTACGCCTTACTACCCTCACTCAGTATTATACTTGGGAGACTTAGTCATGATGATACATATAATGCTAGCTCATTCATTTCCACTGTTGTTCAAGTGTACCAAAATCTTAGTGGGTTTTTAAAATTCATGTGAAATCCACAAGAATGTATTTTGTAAAATTTGTAGCATTTATTCTTGTGGATTTAATATGAATTTTTTAAACCACTTGAAAATATATTTAGATTTCTTTAGTCATTATATCATTTTTTTCCTTTATTCTAGAAACTATCTGGAGGGTAGATTTGAAGGGAATAAGGACTGGATTAGGAAAATCACTTATGAAACTATTACATTAATCAAAATGAGTGAAGATTAAAATCTGAACTAAAGATTCTGATGTATCACATGGGATAAGTTGGAAATGATAAGAGGGAATAGCAATTAATAATAGACTAAGGAAATTTGCATGTCACATGAAGAAATAAGCTATGATAAAGGGACAATATAGTATTTTACCTTGAGAAAACAAATGGGGACTCTTGCTTTACTGGATCTGTATGATTAAAGTTGAAGTGATATAAAGAAAGATAATTTGGTTCAGTAATAAACAGGAGAAAATAAGAAATTATGTATTTATTTAACTTCAATGTCATAAGTATGTATGTTGTATTTTCTGGAGTTGCCACTAAAAAAATAGAAAAAGAGTTTATAAATACCATACTAACAGAGGGGATAAAAGAAGAGACAGGAGAAATTGAAAAGAAAGAAAAAAGAGAAGATAGAATAAAAAGCATAAAATAAGATACCACATATATCTCTATATATTAGTGTATATCTCAATAATTACAATAAGTATAGATGAATTAAGTGAACTAGTTAAAAGACAAAGGTTGTCAGACTAAAATATTTCAGTTACAGACAGTCTCTGATTTATGTTCAATTTAAGATTTTTCAACTTTACAATGGGTTTATTAGGACGTAACCCCATCATTAAATTGCAGAGCATTTGTGCATGCTGTTTACAAGAAGTAGAGAAAGGTTGAAATTAAAAGATGGGAAAAGATATAGTAGGCAAATTTCAACAACAACAAAGCTGGTGTGGTATTAGTAACGTCAGACAAATAGATTCTGCAAGGGTTAGTTTTTAGAACAATGCTAGCATTCTAAAACAGGAACCTCAATACAGGCCTTAGAGATGAAATTGAAAAGAAGGTAATAGTGTATTTCCAAACAACTAATATGTTCAATGAGTATTACCTGATTTGAAGAATAAAGGCAAAACTGAAAGTTTAGGAAAACAAATACTCATAGATTACATGGAATTTACAGTTTAACCAAGTATTTTCCTTCAGAGTCCAAAATTACTGGCTTTTTCTTTCCGTGTATACTGTCTATGATTGTTGACAACACATATAAAATTAAATGCATTTGGTAAGTCCTTGCTCTTATGTTTTCAGGAATTCAGAATGTCCTCAGCCTCTTTTGTGCAGTCCTCACAGAAAATAAGGTTCTCTTCCATTCTGCAAGTTTCCAGAGACTTAGCGATGCTTGTCGAGCCCTGGAATCTTTAATGTTTCCTCTTAAATATAGGTGAGGTTTTCATTTGTTAATTTTATTTATTCCTAAACTACATATCACTTATTGTCGATAAGTCATAATGTTATGGCACAATGGTTTTGAACCACATAGGGGTATTTCACAAAGTTATGCTGTTACATGAGTCATAGTTTTGATAAAATCTAGTCTAGAATTTGAGACTTTCCAAGTTGTCCATTACTGAATGTTGATTAGTGTAAAAATATTTAATTTGAATAGTATTGTCAGCAACTTTTAATTGTCTTTTAACACATTTGGCATAAATGTCTAGTCAGTGCTACTTGATATTAAAGAATTATTAATTTTTAGAAGTTATAGTGGTAGAGATTCTATTAATAAAAAGCTCTTATCTTTCTTAGATACCCACTGAAGTATTTATGGGTAAACAATGTGACATCTGGGATTTGCTCGAAAATAATACAGTAGAGAAGAGAAAAAAAGTGGGTAGAGATATATACGTAGCCGTGCATTGGTAATTCTCAAAGTTGACAATTACTGCAGGGCTTCATTATAATTTTTTCCTCTGTTTTTTTATGGGATATGTTAAAAAAATTTTCCTAATAAAAACTTAAAAAACAAAACAATGATGCCTAATAGTGCTATAACTAGAATAGCATACCTCTAATATACTGTTTAATCAACTGATAATCTAACATCTAGGAAATTAGTTCATATAAACTAGATAAAATTTTAGACTCCAGAATTTCTTTAAAAAATTTTTTTAAATTTAGGTACTTTTCTTAACTTTTTAGATAAGATAGAGAATTATTGGTCCTGGTTTTTTGTTTTTGTTTTTGTTTTTGCCATTCTTATTGAATGCAAAAATCAAGTATAGACGGTGGAATTTGAGTGCTTATTTTATATAGACAAATCATTGCCTCATATTGAGAGGGGAGGCCCTATCAGAGAGTCAGTGTTACTGTCTAATGTCGGGTTTCTATGTAAGGAAAAATGCTTTCAAACAATATTAGAAGACCTAAAGAGACTGCTTGCCTAGAAGAAACAAAGGTTAAGGAAGCAGGCTTGGATTCCATTCACTTTATGTCTTATATCTTATTGTATTTTTCACATGAAGATTTTTAAATCATTTTTTCCAAAATTTTAGTATTAAAAAGCATGAAAACATTATTGATAATTTCTAAACCTAAGTAATATGCAACTTACACAGCATAAAGATGAAAGAAAATATGTTTATGTTAAAGAAAAATATATGTGACACGTATTTTTATTCTTTCCAGTTATCCTTATATCCCTATTCTCCCGGCTCAGCTACTGGAAGTTCTGAGTTCCCCAACACCTTTCATTATTGGAGTACATTCTATCTTTAAAACTGATATCCACGAACTTGTAAGTATTCATCTTTAAAGTTTCCAGTTATTGAGTCCAGAAGTTTATCGTATTACTTTGGGTCCTATAACATTTCAACCCATCACTATTTTCAGATCTGTAGCATTTCCAGTAGAAAAGATTGGATAGAAGAAAAATATCATTGAAAAGTCTGTATATTAATTTTGCCATATACAAGTATAGGAGGTTTTATAAAGGAATTTATTAATATTTTTAAATATCCCTCTTTTGGTGCATTGTTTATCTTTATTATTCATCTTACATATGACAAAAGATAAATTAATCTACTAATATTCTATTTATACTTTTGATATTAGTGCATAATTGATTTATATTTTGAAGTGAGACCTGACTTGATACCAAATTGCTGATAACTAACAAAGCAGAAAGCATATTCAAAAGAGTGAAGAGTTTTAGTAGAACACAAGTTTGATATGAGCTTCCACCAAATTTTTGTATTCTTAATGCCATATGAATAGGAATACCGAAGAAGGAAAAGTATACTCTACATTCAAGCCAGTTCTGGAATAATTCATTTAGTTCTGTGTATCACTCTTCATGAGGGACTGTAACAAAATAAAGCTTATCAGAAAAGGACATCCAGGATTATCAAGTATTTAGAAACTATATTCTGTAAGGGCCTAAGGAAATTTTCTCAGGTAATAAGCTGATACTATTTCACAGGTAAAGATAAGTATTTAAGTTACTGTCATAGAAGAAGGGTTGAGATTCATTTTTTGTAACTCTAAAAGGCTGAAATAGAATCGGTGGATAAAGTGGCTGTAGAAACGGATTTCTGCCCATTAAAAGTATTTCCAACAATTAGAACTGCCCGGTTATAGAATGGATTTCCTTATGTGAGATGAGAAGTGTACTCTCAAGCACTGTGAGTAGAGTGTAAGGAAAAGATTATGTGACACTTTACAGGGAGTCTGAGAGAAATTCTTTACTGTAAAATTAGGCTGCATAACGTCTGTGTTCCACAGATCCCTAAGATTTTGTAATTCTGCTTCTGTTTTAGTTTTAAATGCCAGCAACTAAGTAATTACAGTTGTAACCAAATCAGAGGTATCATTTAAAGTAACAAAATATTATTCCACATTATAAATAGGACTTTCATTCGTATAGTCATCATTCTTTCTAACTTTAGGTGTTGATACTTAGTTCCTATTTAATTTTGGTATCACCATATAAAAATATGTATAAATCAATAAACATTCAATAAAACCTAATTAATACTAATTAGAAGCATACCCACCTGGTTTGTAGGTAATTTTATTTCTTCTAAATGGAAACAGTCACTGGAGGCCAGGCACGGTGGCCCACACCTAAAATCCCAACACTTTGGGAGGCCAAGGCAGGCAGATCACCTGAGGTCAGGAGTTTGAGACCACCCTGGCCAACATAGAGAAACCCCGCCTCTACTAAAACTACAAAAAATTAGCTGGGCTTGGTGACGCATGCCTCTAATCCCAGCTACTCAGGAGGCTAAGGCAGGAGAATCGCTTGAACCTGAGAGGTGGAGGTTGCAATGAGTCAAGATTGCACCACTACACTCCAGCCTGGGTGAGAGTAAGACTCCGTCTCAAAAATACATACATACAAACATACATACATACACATATACATACGTACATACATACAGTTACTGGAGATAGGACAAACCAAGTGTTGCCAAATAAATAAATAAAAACAGTCGCTGGAGGTAGGACAAACCAAGTGTTGCCAAATGCAAATTTCTTAAAATCGTAATCAATAAATTAGAATGAATTATAATATTGTCAATATAACAGCTTCACTCATCTTGGCTGTTTTCTCTTACATTTTTATGTAAGTTATTTTTAAATAGACTTTTGTAAAATGCTAAAAATCAGATTTTTCTAAGTGGCTAAACAGTACCCTTTTGATGTATACTAATTGCTTTGTTAATTCTTGTAATAAATACTAATTTGTTTAGAATATTACTAAACTACTTGAATAAAGTGTCTGAAATGCAATCCTCTGTGCTTGCTGCAGCCGCATATACAGTAAAATCAGAACAAAAGGCAATGGCTGAAACAAAATAGTGTCATTGAACACTCATGCAGCAGTCCATAGACATATTCCATTATGCCAGACCAATCTGCTCTATGAAGTCATTCAAGATCCAAGCTTCCATCCTTCTTGTTTCTCCAACAGAATCCTCCCAGGCATTGTCATCATGTGTATGCTTGAAGGCTGGTTTGCTGTCAGTTTATAATTTTAGTCTAAGGGAAAAGGAAAGACAGCATAGGAGAGCTTTACATATCCCCTCTCTTGAAGGACAGGAATATGTCACTTCTCATGTTTTATTGGCAGAATCTTAGCCACATGCCACATCTAATTTCAAAGGAAGCTGGGAAACACAGTGTTGCTGGGAACTTGTTAGCCCAGAATTGTACTACTATGGACAAACAAGTGTCTCTTCCACACGTGATTCTTCTCATTTTGAATTAGTCAAGGGAAAAATAATTTGCTTAACAACAAATGTATTTCCGTAATTATAGGTTAATTTTTTTTATCTCTTTCAGTTAGATGTAATCATAGCAGATTTGGATGGAGGCACTATTAAAATTCCTGAATGTATTCACCTCTCTTCTCTCCCAGAACCACTTCTACATCAGACGCAATCAGCTCTTTCTTTGGTATGACATGTTTTTGTAATAGTAACTTTCTCTTTATTTAAATCTGAAGCTAAGATAGCTGAAATTGAAAATGTTTGTCAATACAGTTTGTTACTTTAAAGAGAGCTATATGTTGGAAACATGAACATATTCTTTTATAGTATTTAGAATTATTCGTTTACTAGGTAGTTATCTAAAACATATATTTTGGATCCTAACTGAATATTTGTTCTACATTGCTTCCTTCATTCAGCGTACAGGACCTAGTACTGTCCTAGGTATTGGAAATTCACCTGTGAAAACAAGGCTCTGCCTTGAAATCCCTGATTCCCCTAAGATCCCCCATTAGGTGTTGGCTTCTCTTCTCTAGCCTCCCTATTGGCATCTCATTCCTCTTTGGTACCTACAAAACACTGTAATATTGTCTTGCCAATACTTTCAGGTTATTACAGAAAGATGTGTCTTATTGATACATAAAATGTCCAACATTCCACTCTAAATGCCATATGAATAGAAATACCAAAGAAGGAGAAGTATACACTACATTCAAGCCAAGTAAAGCTTTAAAACATCTTGTGGCTTCAGTTTTTCTCATTGAAACAGATTGAATTTTTTTTGCAGTTATTTTATCTTAGCTGAATTTTGAAAACATGGTATTTTGTTTTACTGATAGCATTTTAGGTGCTTATCATCAGAAAATTGAAGTGTAGAAATTCTGCATTCGTTTTCAACACATTACTAGAACTAAGGCCTTCATATTCTACTTTAAGAATATTTTATTCTGGGCTATTTAAAACATTTTTTCCCTCTTAAATAGAAACTTAGAAGCCTAGGATAACCAGGAGGGATTTTATTCTCAGAAAACTTTAAAATTTGTGTTAGTCTTTTTTGTTGTCATAGTGGTATCTGTGAAATGGGAACAGTTAGAGAATCTACTAAAAATACAAAAATTAGCTGGGCATGGTGGCACATGCCTGTAATCCCAGCTACTCAGGAGGCTGACGCAGGAGAACAGCGTGAACCTGGGAAGCAGAGGTTGCAGTGAGCCAAGATTGCGCCACTGCACTCCAGCCTGGGTAACAGAGCTAGACTCCATCTCAAAAACCAAAACAAGGCCGGGCACAGTGGCTCATGCCTGTAATGCCAGCACTTTGGGAGGCTGAGGCGGGCAGATTACCTGAGGTCAGGAGTTCAGGATCAGCCTGGGCAACACTGTGAAACCCCGTCTCCACTAAAAATACAAAATTAGCCAGGCGTGGTGACACATGCCTGTAATCCCAGCTACTCAGGAGGCTGAGGCAGGAGAACCGCTTGAACCTGGGAGGTGGAGGATGCGGTGAGCCGAGATCGTGCCATTGCTCTCCAGCCTGGGCAACAAGAGTAAATCTCCATCTCACCAAAAAAAGAAAAAAGAAAAAAAAGGAGTTGATTTAAAGACAATTTAAAGAAAAATCTTGACTATATAATTGCATAGATGGTATATGTATATATAGCAAAAGCTGAGAAGGTAGTATTTGAATGGCTGAAGAAAGTTTAATGTTTCTAGAATTCCTATAGGGATTAAATCTTATGTGTGGTTACTTACTAGTGATATGAATAGTTATTTAGGGGTTAAGTACCAAAATTAACAAAGAGTAAGATTGTACTTCTTAAGCCAATGGCTCCTGATAAGGGTTCTGCTGCATACTCGTATACCTAAACCTGCAACACCTGTGCCACCAAATTTGATCAATGTGTAAAATTCCTTTTTGGTAAAACTGAGTATACATATTGTTATAGTTACTAAGCACAGTGGTGGATTAGGTACTACTTACTGTTCCGTGAATAAGAAATAGGAGCATAGGGCCGGGTGTGGTGGCTCACACCTGTAATCCCAACACTTTGGAAGGCTGAGGTGGGTGGATCATCTGAGGTCAGGAGTTCGAGACCAACCTGAACAACATGGCAAAATCCCATCGCTACAAAAAAAAAAAAAAAAAAGACAAAAAATTAGCCAGCTGTGGTGGTGCACACCTGTAATCCTAGCTGCTCAGGAGACTGAGACAGGAGGCTCGCTTGAACCCAGGAGGCAGAGGTTGCCGTGAGCCGAGATCATGCCATTGCACTCCAGCCTGGGTAACAAGAGCGAAACTCCGTCTCAAAAAAAAAAAAAAAAGAAAAGAAAAAAAGAAATAGGAGCATAATGTATTGTCAAACTAGGACCAAAAAGAAACTACATTTCATGGATGATTGGGAACATCAACACACAAGCATATAAGCTTTGTTTCATTAGTAAATAATTATAATCAAATGGCAACACTATACTTAAACTGTGTAATAACAATGGATTATTTTATAGACACCAAGATATTTTGTGCTGTGCTTGTGATTCAATGACTTGAACTGCCAGTATTTTAGTGTTGTCTTTAAGTGTTGTTTTGAGTCTTTTGGTCTGTTCTCAGCATACCATCAAAAATCTTAGTATTTGAAAATGATTCTGCAAGGAGAAAATTTGCTACATACTGATACAATTTCATCTTCTCTGTGTAAGTCCTACACAGGCCCTACTTTCCCAGCTGCTCCCCAACCTGCTTTCCTTCAAAGCTTAACTCAAATGTTACTTCATTTTTTGTTTAGTTTTCCCTAAGTTGAATTAATTATGCTTTACATTTCACATATTGCACTTTATATATTTTAGCACTTTTGTGACATGGTTTTATATTTTTACCTGTTTAGACTGCAAAGTTCAAAATCTTATTTTCTTTCTCCTCAGTAATTTTTTTTTTTTTTTTTTTTTTTTTTGAGACAGAGTCTTGTTCTGTCCCCCAGGCTGGAGTGCAGTGGTGCGATCTCAGCTCACTGCAACCTCCATCTCCCAGGTTCAAGTGATTCTCCTGCCTCAGCCTCCCAAGTAGCTGGGACTACAGGCATGTGCCACCATGCTGAGCTAATTTTTGTATTTTCACTAGAGACAGGGTTTCACCATGTTGGCCCGGCTGGTCTCGAATTCCTAACCTCAAGTGATCCACCCACCTTGCCCTCCCAAAGTGCTGGGATTACAGGCATGAGCCACTGCACCTGGCCTCTCCTCAGTAATTTTTCATTACACTTAGAACATAAAAACAAGCAGCTGTTTTTAAAAATTCAGCTATATAGATTATTCCCTTACCAGACATGACTACTATTTTATAGTTTAGTGTATTTTTTTTCAGAACTTTTCATTCTCATTTCCCTCTCTCTCTCTCTCTTTCTCTCTCTCTCTATATATATACCTATGTAGATTTAGGGTTTATTTTGTTTTATTTTCAAATAAATTAGACCATACTATGTGTATTTTTCTAGAACATGTTTCAACTGAATATTTTGTCTTGGAGATCTTTCTACAGTGGTACATATAGAACTACCCCAGCTAATTGAATTGTATTAATGGAGGGAATATATTATAATTCATATGCTGACATTTTCATCTTAATGTCCCAATAATAGATTTCATTGATATGAAGATATTTTACATAACAAAACTTTTTTGCTTTAGATTTTACACCCAGATTTGGAAGTAGCAGATCATGCTTTTCCTCCTCCACGAACAGCTTTATCCCACTCAAAAATGCTGGTAAGAAGTTTAATATTTACATTTAATGCTGTTGAAGAGAGCTGTTCTTTTATTTGTAGGGTTTTTAAAGAAGCTAAGTAAAGTTAGAGTTAGATGGACAGCAGAGTAAAAAGTGCCCAAAACTAGAAATTAAGAGACTTGCCACTGACTGTCCTTATGTCCTTCTCAAGGAGGAGGCACAGGGAAGCACACTGGGCAACAGGCCACTAGGGCTAAGACTGTTGCCCTGAGGAGGCATGAGTTAAGTGTAGGACAGAAAATCAGAGCCTAGATTATAGCCTGGAAAACTGTGCCAAGCATCAAATTGAAACAGCCAGGCAAGGATTAAAAACAGAAGAGATGCTTACAAAAATGGATATAAAGAATGTTGGTTATAGGAGAGAATCAAGTTTGAAGAGTGTGTGGATGGAAATAGTTCCAATTAGAAGCCATTGAAGGTTATATATATAACAGAGGCCCCTTTTTTATTTTGCTCAGTGCATTTCTTAGCAGTGGGTTTTGTAACCAATAAGGAACCTCAGGGAGCTGAACACATATACTTAAGCATTCTTGACCTTCATTTCCTGATCCATTAAGTAAGGCATTGACTAACAGAATCTGTCAGTTTTCTTACAGTTCTAAACTGTGATTCCAATAAAAGCTGGATTAAATACAATCTTAAGAGTTTTTTCTTCTTATATTTGTCTTATATTTGGTTGTGACTGTAATTGTTTTGGTGCATATAAAAATCAAAGGACTTGGGATATATGCCAAAGGTCCTTGGGATATATGAAAAGGTCACCTTTTTGACTCGATATTTCATTTGTTTTTAAAAAGTTAAATTACCTAACCTTTCTTCTTATATTTTTAGGATAAAGAGGTGCGAGCAGTTTTCCTTAGATTATTTGCACAACTCTTCCAAGGATATAGATCCTGCCTGCAACTTATAAGAATTCATGCAGAGCCAGTAATACATTTCCACAAAGTAAGATATAGAGTACTGTATTGTGTCTGTCCAAGAAATATATTCTAATTTAATAAAACTACTTGATTTTTTTTTCCTAGCCATTTATTTTGACCTTGATTTATCAAATGTGATTATTTAAAATCTCTATGTGGTTAGATATTGGTTCTTAATAATAATATGGAACTCACATACTGTCTTAGAATATGTTAACTTTAAATCAATTTTTCTTTTAAAATTGAATGTTAATTTCTGATTTCTTCTCCTAACATGGAGACAGATTCATTTTTATTCTTTTCAATATATGTAGTATTTCAGAATAACTCTCTTTGAGAGAAATGTATTTTATGACAACACATATTTATACATGAAGGGATTTATATAGGCCTTGCTCTTTTTATTGTATTTTTGTTTTGACCATTTGTCCATTACCAAGTGATAAATTATTATTTCACGTTTTCTTTTTTCACAGACAGCATTCTTGGGGCAGCGTGGTTTGGTCGAGAATGATTTCCTCACTAAAGTACTCAATGGAATGGCATTTGCAGGTTTTGTTTCAGAAAGAGGTCCTCCTTATAGATCTTGTGATCTCTTTGATGAGGTATAGTTCTTATTAAATGAAGGCATTATTTATAGACATAATTAGACTAGTAGTTAAAAGCAAAAAGTAACATTTTTCATATTTATATAGTCATATATAAATTAGGTATTAATCCCAATGTTATTTATTATGCTTATCAAATCTCGATATTTTAATGTGGATTATAAAAATTACCAAAAAAATTATAAAATGCCTTGAAAGTACATATAATTTTTGAACAACTGAATTTTAATTAATTGAACAATGTACACTACTCAGGTGATGGGTGCACCAAAATCTCAGAATTCACCACTATATAATTCATCCATGTAACCGAAAACCACTCATACTCCAAAAACTATTCATATTTTAAACTATTATATTTTAAAAAATAGTTGATTAAAATCTTTTTGAAAAGGTAACAGTGATTGTATAAATAGAACTCTTATTTTTAAAGGCCCTAATACAGTAATTCTTTTGTCAGTGTTATAGGGAGAAAGCTCTAATTTGAAGCTAAGATAGCTGAAATTACTTCAAACTGGAGTTACATTTGGTCTATCAGAATCATAGAGCCATAGTTTAAGTTTGTGGCATTCTCACTAATCAATTTTCAACTCTTCTCTACCTGTCTTAGGAGACATTAAATATATGGAAAACAGATTTCTGTCTCTGTCTTCAAGGAATTAGCCATATAAAGGTAGAAATAGGGCAGATGTGACTCAAAATAAGAATGCTATTTGCATTTATTGTGCTCTTTTTTAAAAGCACCTTTCCATTTATCATTTAACTCTATATTCACAGCAGCCCACTCTGGTGGGTAGAACAAGAATATTATTCTCATTTCAATTTTTGAAAGAGTACTATATTAGAACCAAAAATCTAAAAAGTTTCTTGATATCTATAAAAAAACCACATTCCTAGATCCCAAGATATTGGAGAATCGTGATAGTGGTCATGTTTTGCCTCTGGTGATTTTCTTTTATATAGGGAAGGTAGGAATGAAAGTCTTAAATATCTTTGGTTCAGAGGCGAAGGATCTTTTTTTTTTTTAAAGATAGTGAAGTATTCACAGGTAAGAATTTTTAAAGAAGAGGCACATGTTTTAGTTCTGTGTAGAATATGTTTACTGCATCAGATGCTTTAATTAATAACACAAAGCATACGAAGATTTAGGAAACATCCTGAGGTGGACAATTTTTTGTAATCAATTATTGGTCACTGATTCTCTAATACTACATATAACATGATTGGTTATTGATTCTACTAACATATCAGCCTTTAGATTCTGTACTAAGTTCATAACATAATATTTTATGGGTTTAAAATAGATGGTCTCCAAGGTCTTTTCTAGCACCTACATTTTGTTAGTCTTTGAAGCTTTATGAATAGTAACATTGGTTTATATATTCTCTCTTTTCTATTCAAATTTATCTTCCTCTGACAGCTTCATCACAACTAAAAAGCAAGATTGGTTACTTACAGAAAACTTACTTGCCACAGCCTCTATTTTGTAGGTCTTTCCCGTGCTTGGAGTGCCCTCCTCTGTTCTTCATGCTCTGCTCTTATCTCACCACCTCTTCCAAACTCTCCCAAAGTCATTGACTCTGAGAGCCACTCGACTGCGTTAGGCTTCATTTTATGTCTCTAACTTTATGTGCTAACTTATTTTTTATTTATTTATTGTTTATACAAATATACTCTAGATTGGAAACAATGATAAGCCAAGGTTCCTATTGGGTCACCCATTAGTGTTCATCCAGTTCTCTGTTTGGCCTACAGTGGTGACTTTGGGTGTCTTACTTTTGTTACTTGACTGCCAGTGAATCATATGTATATATCAGTCAAGAGCCTAAGAAAAATGAACCATCAGAACTAACTAATTTCTCATTCTACCCTCTTTGGCCATTTGCATGGGAATGCTTTGGTAGAAAAATAGCATTTGCTCCTGGGAAAGTGATCCTTGTTTTCACTTAGCCTAGGGCAGTCTACCACAATGGAGTATTACCGGGGCTTTGAGAGGCAGCTTGCATTGTGCATGGCCTTGTCCTCACACTCCCATCAGCTAGATGTCTTAGAATGAAAAGAATGTTTGCCCTTGATCATCTTTCTGAATCCTAGCCTAGAATAGGTAAGCCATAGTTTTATATGCCTATGCAGCGAATCTATTAGTTCCTAGAAGAATCCTGTATTGTACCTTTTTATTTTTATTGTCCATCTATTTACCCTCCACAATTTTTTTTCCTGTCAGCCTTCTTTTCTTTACCCTAAGTATACAGACTCACACAGTTCTCCCAGTAAATTAGTTAATAAAGAGATAGTTTGAGACTAGAAGGAATCTAAAGGCCATTTTGTTCTTCCATCTTATTTTAGAGATGAGAAAACTGAAGCTCAGGAGTTTAAGTGCCTTGTCCCAGATCACACACTATCAGCAGAGCTAGGACTAAAGTCTGAGCATCCTGACTTGGACATTTGGTTCATGTTTTGTGAGTTAAGGAAGTGTTTAGACACTTTCTAACTGTCTGAATTTCTCTGACTGAGGCCTGTGGAATGACAGGGTCTCTCTGAGTTCCAGAAATGACTTTTCCCTAGAAGAAATAGGGCCCTAAATCCTCAGGGAGGGACCACTATACAATTCAAGGGTTTGATTGACCCTGTAACCCCAGAATGGAGGTGAAACCCCAAAACCTAAAATATTTTGTTTTAAAAATAATGTATATGTTGGATTTTTTTGGCTTGCAAATTGTATGAAATTATCACAGTTTTTGAATTTGGCATATTTTGGAATTGATGTTTTGCCTTTTGATTCTTTTTCCTAGTTGGTAGCCTTTGAAGTAGAGAGAATTAAAGTTGAAGAAAATAGCCCAGTGAAGATGATAAAGCATGTCAGAGAACTTGCTGAGCAACTATTCAAAAATGTAAGTAAGTATATTTATTTAGACAGTCATTAATTTTATTTATTTATTTATTTTATTTTATTTTTCCATAAGTTATTGGGGTACAGGTGGTATGTGGTTACATAAGTGAGTTCTTTAGTGGTGATCTGTGAGATTTTGGTGCACTCCTCACCCAAGCAGTATACACTGCACCATATTTGTAGTCTTTTATCCCTCGCCTCCCTCCCACTCTTCCCCCCAAGTCCCCAAAGTTTATTGTATCATTCTTATGCCTTTGTGTCCTCATAGCTTAGCTCCCATGTATCAGTGAGAACATATAATGTTTGGTTTTCCATCCCTGAGTTACATCACTTAGAATAATAGTCTCCTATCTCATCCAGGTTACTGTAAATGCTGTTAATTCATTCCTTTTCATGGCTGTGCAATATATGTATGCATATATATATATATATATGGCACAGTTTCTTTATCCACTTATCGATGGGCATTTGGGTTGTTTCCATGGTTTTGCAATTGTGAATTGTGCTGCTATAAACATGCATGTGCAAGTATCTTTTTCGAATAATGACTTCTTTTCCTCTGAGTAAAACCCCCTAGTGTGATTGCTCGGTCAAATGGTAGTTCTACTGTTAGTTCTTTGAGGAATCTCCACACTGTTTTCCATAGTAGCTGTACTAGTTTATGTTGACACCAGCAGTGTAAAAGTGTTCCTCGTTCACCACATCCACTCCAACATCAACTGTTTTTTGATCTTTTGATTATGGCCATTCTTGCAGGAGTAAGATGGTATCGCATTATGGCTTTGATTTGCATTTCCCTGATCATTAGTGATGTTGAGCATTTTTTCATATGTTTGTTGGCCATTTGTATATCTTCTTTTGAGAACTGTCTGTTCATGTCCTTAGTCCACTTTTGGATGGGATTGTTTTTTTCTTACTGATTTGTTTGAGTTTATTATAGATTCTGCATAGTAGTCTTTTGTCAGCTGTATAGATTGTGAAAATTTTCTCCCACACTGTGGGTTGTCTGTTTACTCTGCTGACTGTTCCTTTTGCTGTGCAAAAGCTGATTAATTAGGCCCCAGTTATTTATCTTTGTTTTTATTGCGTTTGCTTTTGGGTTCTTGGTCATGAAATCCTTGCCTAAGCCAATGTCTAGAAGGGTTTTTCCAGTGTTCTAGAATTTTTATAGTTTCAGGTCTTAGGTTTTAAGTCCTTAATCCATATTGAGTTGATTTTTGTATAAGGTGAGAGATGAGGATCCAGTTTCATTCTCCTACATGTGGCTAACCAATTATCCCAGCACCATTTGTTGAAAAAGATGTCCTTTCCCCACTTTATGTTTTTGTTTTCTTTATTGAAGATCAGTTGGCTGTAAGTGTTTGGGTTTATTTCTGGGTTCTCTATTCTGTTCCATTGGTCTATGTGCCTGTTTTCATACCAGTACCATGCTGTTTTGGTGACTATGGCCTTATAGTGTAGTTTGAAATCAGGTAGTGTGATGCCTCCAAATTTGTTCTTTTGCTTAGTCTTGCTTTGGCTATGTGGGCTCTTTTTTGGTTCCATATGAATTTTAGAATTGTTTTTTCTAATTCTGTGAAGAATGATGATGGTATTCCGATGGGGATTGCACTGAATCTGTAGATTGCTTTTGGTGGTATGGTCATTTTCACAATATTGGTTCTACCCATCCACGAGCATGGGATGTGTTTCCATTTGTTTGCATCGTTTATTATTTTTTTCAGCTGTGTTTTGTAGTTTTCCATGTAGAGGTCTTTCGACTCCTTTGTTAGGTATTTTACTAAGTATTTTAACTTTTTTGCAGCTATTGTAAAGGGGTTGAGTTCTTGATTTGGTTCTCTGCTTGGTCGCTGTTGGTTTATAGAAGAGCTTCTGATTTGTGTACATTAATCTCGTATCCGGAAACTTTGCTGAATTCTTTTATCAGTTCTAGGAGCTTTCTAGAGGAGTCCTTAGGGTTTTCAAGGTAAATGATTATACCATCAGCAAGCAGTGACAGTTTTAGTTCCTCTTTACCGATTTAGATGCCCTTTATTTCTTTCTCTTGTCTGATTGTTCTGGCTAGGACTTCCAGTACTGTGTTGAAAAGGAGTGGTGAGAGTGGTTATCCTTGTCTTGTTCCAGTTCTCAGAGGGAATGCTTTCAACTTTTCCCCATTCAGTATTATATTGACTGTGGGTTTGTTATAGATGGCTTTTATGACATTAAGGTATGTCCCTCATATGCCAGTTTTGCTGAGAGTTTTAATCATAAAGGGATGCTAAATTTTGTCCAGTGCTTTGTATCTATTGAGATGATCATGTGATTTTTGTTTTTAATTCTGTTTATATGGTGTATCACATTTACTGACATGTATGTTAACCTATCCCTGCATCCCTGGTATGAAACCCACTTGATCATGGTGGATTATCTTTTTGATATGTTGTTGGATTTGGTTAGCTAGTATTTTGTTACGGATTTTAGCATCTGTGTTCATCAAGGATATCAGTCTGCAGTTTTCTTTTTTTGGTTATGTCCTTTCCTGGTTTGGGTATTAGGGTGATGCTGGCTTCATACAATAAATTAGGGAGAGTTCCTTCTTTCTGTGTCTTGTGGAATAGTGTCAAAAGGATTGGTACCAATTTTTCATTGAATGTCTGATAGAATTCTGCTGTGAATCCATCTGGTCCTCGACTTTTTTTTGTTGGTAATTTTTAAATTACCATTTCAATCTTGCTGCTTGTTATTGGTTTGTCCAGGGTATCTAATTCTTTCTGATTTAAGCTAGGAGGGTTGTATTTTTCCAGGAATTTATTAGTCTCTTCTAGGTTTTCTAATTTATGTGTGTAAAGGTGTTGCCTTGAATGATCCTTTGTATTTCAGTGGTGTCAGGTGTAATATCTCCAGTTTCATTTCTTAGTGAGATTATTTGAATTTTCTGTCTTCTTTTCTTGGTTAATCTTGCTAATGGTCTATAAATTTTATTTATCTTTTCAAAGAACTAGCTTTTTGTTTCATTTATCTTTTGTAAATTTTTTGTTCCAATTTCATTTAGTTCTGCTCTGATCTTGGTTATTTCCTTTCTTCCGCTGGGTTTAAATTTGGTTTGTTCTTGTTTCTCTGGTTCCTTGAGGTGTGACCTTAGATTGTCTGTTTGTGCTCTTTCAGCCTTTTTGATGTAGGCATTTAGGGCTATGAACTTTCCTCTTAGCACCGCCTTTGCTGTATCCCAGAGGTTTTGATAGGTTGTGTCATTATTATCATTCAGCTCAAAGAATTTTCTAATCTCCATCTTGATTTCGTTTTTGACTGAATGCTCATTCAGGAGCAGGTTATTTAAATTCCATGTATTTGCATGGTTTTGAAGGTTCCTTTTGGAGTTGATTTCCAGTTTTATTCCACTGTGGTTTGAGAGAGTGCTGGATAAAATTTCAATTTTCTTAAGTTTATTGAGGCTTGTTTTATGGCCTATGATATGGTCTATCTTGGAGAAAGTTCCATGCACTGTTGAATAGAATGTGTATTCTGCGGTGGTTGGATGAAATGTTCTGTATATATCCGTTAACTCTGTTTGTTCCAAGATATAGTTTAAATCCATTGTTTCTTTGTTGACTTTCTGTCTTGAGGACCTGTCTAATGCTGTCAGTGGAGTATTGAAGTCCCCCACTATTATTGTGTTGCTGTTTATCTCATTTCTTAAGTCTATTAGTAATTGTTTTATAAATTTGGGAGCTCCAGTGTTAGGTGCATATATGTTTAGGATTGTGATATTTTCCTGCTGGAGAAGGCCTTTTACCATTATATACTGTGCCTCTTTGTCTTTTTTAACCACTGTTGCTTTACAGTTTGTTTTGTCTCATATAAGAATAGCTTACCCAGCCAGGCATGGTGGCTCACGCTTGTAATCCCAGCACTTTGGGAAGCGGAGGCAGGAGGATCTCCTGAGGTCAGGAAATTGAGACCAGCCTTGCCAACATGGTGAAACCCCATCTCTACTAAAAATACAAAAATTAGCCAGGCATGGTGGCAGGCACCTATAATCCCAGCTATTTGGGAGGCTGAGGCAGGAAAATCACTTGAACTTGAGAGGCAGAGGTTGCAGTGAGCCAAGATTGCACCAGTGTACTCCAGCCTGAGTGTCAGAGCAGTTTCTATCTCAAACAAAACAAAACAAAAAAAAAACAACTAAAAAGAATAGCTACCCCTGCTTGCTTTTGGTGTCCATTTGCATGACATGCCTTTTTCTACTCCTTTACCTTAAGTTTATGTGAGTCCTTATGTGTTAGGTGAGTCTCCTGAAGGCAGCAGATGGTTGGTTGGTGAGTTCTTATCCATTCTTCAGTCTGTATCTTTTAAATGGAGCGTTCAGGTCGTTTACATTCAGTGTTAGTACTGAAATGTGAGGTACCATTGCTTTCATCATGCTCTTTGTTGCCTGTGTGCTTTGGTTTTGTTTTTTGTTTTTGCTTTTTAACTTGTGTTTTTGTTTTATAGGTCCTGTGTGATTTATGCTTTAAAGAGGTTCTGTTTTGATGTGTTTCCTGGATTTGTTTCAAGATTTAGAGCTCCTTTTAGCAGCTCTTGTAGTGGTGGTTTGGTAATGGTGAATTCTTTCAGCATTTGTTTGTCTGAAAAATGACTTTCTTTTGTATATGATGTTTAGTTTTGCTGGATACAAAATTCTTGGCTGATAATTGGTTTGAGGAGGCTGAAGATAGGGCCCCAATCTCTTCTAGTTTGTAGGGTTTCTGCTGAGAAATCCACTGTTAATCTGATAGGTTTTCCTTTATAGGTTACCTGTTGCTTCTGTCTCACAGCTCTTAAGATTCTTTCCTTGGTCTTAACTTTGAATAACCGGATGACAATGTGCCTAGGTGAAGATCTTTTTGTGATGAATTTCCAGGTGTTCTTTGTGCTGCTTGTATTTGGATGTCTGGGTCTCTTGCAAGGCCAGGGAAGTTTTCCTCTATTATTCCCCCAAATATGTTTTCCAGGCTTTTAGAATTCTCTTCTTCCTCAGGT